AAAAAAAAACGAGATGGGAAACTCTGCTTCTTCCCAAAATGAACACACCGGGAGAAGACTAATACTGTTGAGTGATGAACTTACGCAGAATTCTGAAAAAAAAAATGACGCCAATGTTAAGGGTGGCATAAAGCTGGAAGAGACAGGGAAAACCACAAGGGAACGGACCACCGCGCAAATGGAACCATCGGGGAGAGGTAACAAAATGCACAAGGGAAAAAGAATAAGCGGGGAGACATAGGGGGGGAAGCATATTAGCAACTGTGGCAAACTGCGTATAGAGGGCGCTTCCATCAAGGACAATTACTCCACAATGATACCACGGGGGAGATTACCACTGAGTGTGCCTACCCAGTACCTGTACCCCCTTATGCCAAGGCAACCCCCCCCCCCCCCCCCAAATGTGTACTCAGACGAACCCTAATCGGAACATACACCATTCTGTTAATGCTATTTACAGACCGCACCTCTGCGATGAAAAAAAAAAAATGTAAGCAAACAAAATGCAGTTGCCCTTTTTTCCATTCTTCATTTCTTCCCACCCCACAGAACAGCAATACAAGGAACTACGCAGCGAAATACTCAATGACCTGATTAAGGAGCGCGAGAAGTATATGTATTCTCAGATCGACCCATTTTACTCCGCACCAAACGGGAAGGATGATCAGTTCAGGGAAACCCAAATGAGTAACAACAAATGCATTCCGGATGAACAGAAAATATATAAATGCCTAAAAGACATGAATGAGTCCACGTCGGGCTTTGTTAACTCCTACACCAGGTGCTGCAGATACTTGCAAAGATACGAAAATTGTGTACATAAAATACGCGTATGATGAGAGCACTTTCTCTACTGGAATTGTGTAGCCATTTCGTGGTAGCAAATGCGTTGTATTTTTTTTTTTTTTTTTTTTTTTTTCCCCCCCCTTCCTCGTTCTGATTTAAAAAAAAAAAAAAAAAAAAAAAAAAAAAAAAAAAAAAAATGCTGTGCAAGTTTTCTGCTCTCGTTAAGGAGTAGAGTTTCCACTCCAGTACAGTGGCAGAAATGGAAAACTTCAAATGTATCGCATGAGGTTTCTGCTCAGTGCTAAAAAACAAAACAAGTGGTACATTGAGTAGCCAATACGTCCCCTTACATCAGTTTTTTTCTTTTCTTCCTTTCTTCCTTTCTTCTTTTTCTTCTTCTTTAATTTTCTTCTCCTTTTTTATATTCATGCCTTCACCCGAACATCCCTCATGTGATGAAAATCGGCATGGGAAAATTGAACGGTTTAATATGACACCTTGTGGTATACCTACCAAAATTATATGTTCTTCTTTTTCCTCCTCACAAGTAGGCAAAACACAAAAAAAAAAAAAAAGCTGAAAAAAAAAAAAAAAAAAAAAAAA